TTTTTGCACTATTAACCTCCTGTCAACACTATTATAATGTATTTAAAATTTTTATACTTAAGCACATTTAAGGTTTTCTCTCCCTCTCTTCACATACACGGAGTACTGTAATAAATATAGACTATATTAATAAATTTATCTGTAACCATTCATTAAACTTCAAATAAACTTTCATGCTGGGTAATATGGATAAAACACGAATATATACAATCTTATTATTTTATATTAAATCACCTGGATAACAGATTGCCATTACGGCATAGTGATATAAATCGCGTAGCGTACACATATATATTATAATAACGTAAACTATTAAAAAAGCAACATTAAACGTTATAAAAGAATGTAGCATTTATAAATAATTCTAATGAAAATTAAGTTCCTTTCGATATTTCAGCTAACCCCAATATAGGAGGCGTATAAGAAATTAATTGGAACTTGTAGACCATTCACGGCAATACAGTAATAATAATTGATAACGTTTCTCATTCACTCAATTATATTAAATGGAGTGAACGTTAGCTGTTTCCCGCTTTGAAACAATAACGATAATCAGACGGCAACATCTTGCGAACAATGACACCGCGTTTTTGCTATGGTGGCCATGATCAACCGACAAATTGAATAGGGATGGTAAATAAACAAATAACTATCTCATCTACTTATAATCACATTATTTCAAATTTATCCATATAGTTTGATAATTGAATTATAATAGAATAATTATGTATATAGGTATAGCCTGATAAGAAAATTTTAAATAAAATAGTTAACCGTTTTTTAAATTTCAGTCAGTTAATAACTCGTAACTGACTCAAAGGATAAAGCTTTTAGTTAAAATGCGGTATCATGGTGTGAATCACAGCTAACATTTTTAAGTCTAAAAGAATTATGGCATATATATTGAATATTTTTTAAGTCAAGTCTGATAGTCAATATTGTCATTTTTTAGACGTAATTTTTTAAGGTGATTTGAATTGTGACCTAGTTATGAGTAACTAGTAGATCCGTCGGTACATTATAAAATATGCTATAATACGCAAAAGATAGAAATGATATTAACTTGAAATAAATGTTCTTTCTGTACAAATATATTGTAATATGGACATGTAAAATTGTAGTACTTTTAGATAATTAAGGAGACGTACATGTATCCCACATTACCACAAATAAACAGACATAGTTACTTTTTAACCGACTTCTCACGATGCAGTTACTGTTAATCTAACTACCTGTAAGCGGCTCACTCATAATACTTTAAAAATTAAAAGTTATTCTTTTATGAATCGTGTGAGAATATTTAATTAAATAAGTGGGATAAACGGAACCAAGCAGATACTTATTGCCAATGAAAGTGACAACACACTCGTAAACATTGTAGCACCGAAACTATACAAATAATAATAGGATTATGAGAACCTAATGTGAGTTCACAGGCTAATTAAGAAGTATAATAATTGTTTTCATTAAGCTGGAGTCTATAAACTATTCTCAGAGGACTCGGGGCCGCTAGTCGTCGCATTGCTTGTTCTATAAGCGTGATTTACATATTTAGCAATTATAAGCATCAATCGTTCAATCTACCATTGTTATATTTATATTAATTTTGATATAATAAATGTCTTGTAACATTATAAATTCAGAAATTTTATTAAATTAATTTATACATAGTAATCATTAACATGCTAATGCAGCGTACATGTTTCTCCCTACAATAGGATTTTTAGCCTACTATTACTGCATTGGTCAACTAGTTTGAAATACTTTCATTGCAAATTTTCCCAATTATTACACTTTTTTACTACAGTCTGGGAATATGAGAGGAATGCAAGGAGTATGAGCCGAAATGTGAAATTAATTTTAATACTTTCAGACCCTTCACACCCTTATAACAAGCCGTAAATGTTAAACGATCTTTTTATTGATTGTTGACCACCATATTGCAGACAAACAAGAATTAGTTCCACGTTATTCGACATATCCCGGATTCATCGAAAATTCGTTTCGGGTGAGTTTCACGTGAGTACACCCTCTACGGCGTCATGTGCTAAGACTCTGGGACTCATTAATGAGTTGAGCTCCAGCAAAAAATGTATTCGTCTACACAAAAAGGCGGCGCATGACTCGCCGCTCTGCGATCAATTATTAATAAAAAAGCGGGCCGCTTCATTGAAAGGGCGATTAGCTCAATATTTATATGGAATATTCGGTATCAACGGCTCTTTGTGCCCATAATTCCGTGGGTCGTGACGAGGCGCGTTTGACTGCCGCCGCTCAACGCATAGACCAACTGCTATAGCACCAAAATAGACAGATATACAAGATCTGGTGACATAATCGTTGTACGTCATATAAAAATCATTAATAAAAATTAAAAATAAATTTGAAATAAAATAATGACATACTGAATCAACGTAACAATAACATAGAAAATATTTAGTTCTTACCTTCTTCACAAAAAGGAAATATTTTAAAATTTAATTGGATGACGCAAATATACCGTAATTATTTTCTCAGTTAATTTTAAATCTGTATATTCTTCGTAGGAATGATTTGGAGGTAAAATTTTATAAATCTAACTGCCAACACTTTCAAACGAATACTGTAGGTACGCTGCAACCATTACTATTACCAGATAAGAGCAGTTTACAGGATGAAGAAATCCACAGCATCATTACTGTGGGAGTGTCGATCTCTTAAATAGGTTCTTATACAATCCTTATCTTGTATTACAATTGACGTATTTATTATCGATACCTAATTCTAGAAATGAAATTATGATATTTTAATTTATATTTAATGTATTTAAGTATATCTATCAATTATCTAGTACCAATAAAACAAGCTCTGCTTTACAAGTGTGCGAATTGATGACGCTTTGTAAATTGTATAGGGTTACTATTATTATATTTTTGATTGTAGTCGACTTCCGAGCATACTTCTCTTTATTCTTTTCATTGGTCTCTAAGCTACTTTAATATTTCTCATACATTAAATAATATAATAAATTATTTGCTCAAACCAACTCACAGAATGTATTCAATAATAGGTAAAATATAAGACGGTATCACGTATCGGCGCGAACTCGAGGCCACCATGCTCGCCGCATTTATTGTACTACCGAATTGACTCGCACACTGAAAGGAATTCTTTGCGGTGAAAGCATCTATGCCGACATAAATGTATTTAATCTGATACATTACCACGCACATCAATCATGTTGCCCACGTACTGATTCATTTACTGGCGAATTATTGACTAAAATTAATACTTATTCACCATTGTAAGTCTTATAATATTAATTTCATCAAGTTTCAAGGGCAAACATTCAATTTAAAAATACGCGTATTTTAATGTTCATGCATTCAAGTATGAGTCTCCAATTTAGAAAAGTTCTTCAAACTAAATAACACCGTAATATACAAATAACCATCTTTATTCTTTTTCCAAAAATGGAACTTCACCTCACTTCATTATTTGTCTACAGGTCACAGGCATTGTTACTAATTTTTCACAGAAATTAGTAAAATTTTGTATAATGATATAAGAATATGATAAATATTCTCTTTAAGACTGTTTAGTTTAATTCTTATTAATATCAACGACATAAATCTATAAACACAAATTTGAGTTATATAATGATTTTTAATTTTAAGAACGTTTGAACGTATAAGTGTTTTATGATCTCTGATTTGTTACTTTAGTTTCCGCCCCCAGGCACTAGAAATTACCTACAAAAATAGCAGAATAAATAATAAATAAAAGTATTAACGAAAATAAATTAAGACGATATATTGTTACTGTAACTCAAAAAAACTGATACCTACTTATTTTACAAAATGATTCACATTATGTTGCTATTTCTAGCAAATTCTGTTTATAGGCAAACAATTCCATTAACTGATGTAACGATGAACGAATGTTTGGTGGAACGATTTTTCAGCAGAGCTGATGCTAATGAAAGGGCATTTTCACGAGCTTTGGCGCCGGCCGGCATGCAAATGTGGCAGTTAATGACGCGCGAAGCCACACCACACAACTATATTGTATATGATAAACTACGCACACACCTAATATCAATAGTTACCATCAATACAATAAAACATATTAAGGAAATTTCTTCGTATACTTAAGATTTTAACATTGAAAAAAAAAGTAATATAATAATTCTAAAACCAATTACATAACTACTTTGTTGTTTTGGCTACATTATAAAATATACTTAATAATTTACCATCATTCATCTTTTGACGTCTTTTGCTGAAAAAAAAAGTAATTCTTAACATTTAGGTACTTTTAAATTGGATGTTTGTAAAATTCAAATTAATAAAATCCTCAATATTCTATAATAAATGTACAGATGATTTTATAATCATAAAAAACCTCTTTAATTTAGGATAAGGCAAAGCGATAATTATAACGAATGAGTTTTTATTTTAAATGTTGAATCAACCATAATTATCGTAAGTGCCTAGCTAGTATTTAACCGCAAAAATATCCGTGACTCAATTTTTTTATGAGGATGTTCAATTGAGACGCACCGAATACTTCAAATTGTCTCTGAAAGAAAAGCTTTTCAACCTTGAAAAGGGCGGAGAATACGCCATGAAAGAGCCTCACAATACTCTTTTAATTTGTCATTATGCAACAATAAAAACATGGTAAATGAAAGCGACAAAAAACTCGTTCAGAGTCTGACAAAAACCGCGGGCTGGGGCGAAATTCGCAAATCATCCCGCCATAATGACTGCCGCTTGAAAAAAATTTAAATATCAAAAGGCCGGACGGGGCACAGTAATGGTTTAAAATCATTTTTCATTCGAGTCACTCATGAGTCAGAAATATGAAAACGGTAGCCAACGGCCGCGGGCCCATTAACTCGACGACGACTCGCGATTAGAATTTTGGAACGCGTCCATCTTTCATTTCTCGTTGCAATAAAAACAAATACGTTTTATGGTGGAATGAAACGGCATAGTTACTGAATAAAAGTACTTATATTTACAAATAATAAACTTTGTAACCTATGTAATAGATATCATTATAAGTTAAATGTACTATTTACACAAAGCAACGACATTTTATTTTCATATAGACCAGAAAATTATTTGTTTTTCTTTTTCTTCTTTTTATACGATTGTTCTAGCGGCGGCAAACCGCTGTCAAACTCGCTAGCTGTGTGCATTGAACTCTGTTTATTTATTATCTTCGCTCCAAAAGTATTCACCTTCATTTTTGGGAATCTAAAATAACAGTGAATAATTTTAAGCCATAATATTACATTAATCTTATAATATATAAATAATATAAAATAACTCAAATTTACTGTTACTAATAACTTACTTTAGTATCAATAGTAATAAATAATACTTAGACTATTCTAATAGAAACCGTAACATATAGCAGTAAGTAGATAAAGTAAAATAGATACTAACATTTAAAATATAACATTGTATTCAATGAAGCAAATATGGCGCCAATATTCTTTTATTCACAGAAAGTAACAAACTATCAAATAAAATATTTTATAGATCGAGACTACAATATTCCATTGTTTTCCCAAAAAAAAAAGAGATTTGATAGAAAATAGATAAAAGTATATTATAAATAAATGTATATTTTCCAAAAATTTTATAAAATATTTTTGGGTTTTTAGTCAAATTTAATATATCACTATTTAATAAGTTACAAAGAAGTTTTTGTAATAAAAAAACATCTTACCCAGGTCTTTTTCTCTCCTCTTCATCTTTAACCGTCAACTTGTTCAGCGGCTTATCCTTCTTCAGATTTGGATCCGACTTGGCTCTCCTAGCGAGTGCTGCGGGCGTGTCCCTTAGAGCGAACGCTTTTGCAGCGTGTCCGAGGTGTAACTGTTTTGCATCTAACCACTGTCTGATGTCACGAGGATATCCGGAATAGAAACGCACCCAGGATGTATATGCTGCATAAAAATAATTTAATTACAATGGCTAATGGCGAATAAGATATTAGGTCATCGTTAGGTTGTTACCCTCGGAGTTCAGGCTGGAGCAAAGGACTTTACCTCGAGGACCCCGAGGAGGTTAGATAGACAAGTCTTCTGCACCCCCTAGGGGTACAGAAGACTTGTCTATCTAACCCAGAATTTGTCGTGCGACTTCTTACTTTCTATATGTAACATATGAAAATATAGAAAAGCCCAATCGAAAATATCATATGCTTATTAAATAATTTCCATATCCCTTTATACCCACACGAAAAATGTCTTCGTTTTTGATAAGTATGTATTTAGTTAATTACTGTATGTATTTACAAAAAAAAACTATGTATATGTATCAGTTGTCTAGAACCCATAACACAAGCTTTAGCTAGCTTAACTTGGGTCTAGATGGCGCAGTGTGATTTGTCCTGAGATTATTATTATTATTATATTAATACTGTTATACTACGCCAATTCGGCTTTTACATTATCACAGGCCAGACACTGTCGGTTGCAGAATGACACGATTTCTTCTAATTCTGTACGTAAGAGAGTACCTTACGGTTGTATCATTTTTGTTGTAAGTTTTCTGGAAATTGTATGTGTTCCATGATTGAAACTAAAAATGTTCTGTACAATTACCCCTGCTAGCTCTGGCCAGCCACTCCTTATTGGTATGTGCGATGTGCTCCAGCCGAGCCTGTACGGCTATGGCTGAGCGGGCGGCGTTGGCCGCCGCAGGAGCCACTGTGCGCAAAGCCTCCAAAGACTTTGATTCGTCTGATTGACGTAACCTGATAAAGAAAATTGTCTATTGGGATTTAAAATTCTAGGACAAATTCTATAGAGTAAAGGAATCTCTTTTCAATCTCTTGTTTATTCTTAACTTTACGTAACTTAACACTTTCTGTAAAAAGAGTTTTGTCAATGCTTAACTTCTTTAACGTACTTAGATGAGTTATTCCTGGAACCCTTATTTATTATGTACCACATTCAAATCATGCTAAATCTTCTACCCAAGCTTTTTATAACTTGAATTTCTTAGCCAATCCCGATAATCAATTGATATTATTTCATACACACAAATTATTACACATTTTACCCAAATAGAATATTAAACAATGTAATAAAAATTTAAACATACAGTTATTTTAATAAGCACTATCTAAACCACTCACCTGATTCGCTTCTGTTCAAGATGCCTAACAAATTGGGCCTCGCTGGGCAACAGGAACATCACGGCGGCGCCTACTTGGGCCGCTCGACCTGTTCGCCCAACTCTAGAAAAATACACTAATTTAGAAACAAAGTAGAAAAGTATAAAATAGTATAATTTCTTCAATCAATGTTGGATTGGTCAAATTTTTCCTATAAAAACGGGCACTAATTACAAAATAAAATAAAGACTATCTCTCTTCATCTCTTTTAAAAAGAATAACAGCCCAGTTTTAGAAATAGAAATAATCTTTATTCAAATAAACTCATTACAAGCACTTTTGAATAGTCATATTTTGATTCTACCACTCATTCGGAATGCAGATTCATCACAAGAAGAATGAGCAAGAAACTTGTGTGTTGCTCTTTTTAATAGATGTTTTTTTTTTTATATAAATAATTACAGTATAACAAGTAAGAGGCATGCGATAATCAACATAGAAGTCGCTACGCACTCATTATTAATGTAATCAGAAAATATTGTCAGTGCTATAGATTTAAAGTTTTTCTATAAAAACATTATTATCGTTAACGAATTCTTCAATTTTATAGTAAGCTTTTTTGCAAAGGAACTGTTTTATTTGACATTTAAATCTTTTTTCTGGCAGATTTATAACAGACTCTGGTATTTTATTGTAAAATCTTACACAATTGCCATAAAACGAATTACTAACTTTAGCCAAACGACATTTAGATAAAATCAGTTTGTTATTGTTACTGTTGGTTGTTTTCTGTTGGTTATAGTCTACTAAAACTAATACATACATACTGAGCTGGATTGAAATTGGAATTATATAATGTAGATATAAATATATACCTATGAACATAATCGGTAGCTGACGCTGGAGCGCAATATTGTAGAACTAAGTCCACGCGTGGGACATCCAATCCTCGAGCGGCTACATCCTGGTAAAATAAAATCTAATTAAAGTCCTCTATATACTTGAACTATCAACTACTAACTACTACCTGATACTGAACTACTATCTGAACTATCCCCTATATGCAAGTTAAACAAAAATCCTTTTTTAAAAAAAACATTTTATAGGCGTATGTTAGGTACTAGCTGTTTAAGTCAACGGTGTGATATAGATACAATACATTAACAATTTCATAGGACAAGAAAGAATGTTTTATTTAACATTATTAATTAAAAACACGGAAGCAGCACACGGCAATTGCGGCGCAGTAGCGACCCCCCGTTGGCTGCAGATCGAACAAAAGTACAGTCGCAAACACATTAATTTACTTCATCTGTCTTTACATAGTATAAAACAAAGTCGCCGCTGTCTGTTCGCTTATCTCTTTTAATTACGTAACGGATTTTAATGCAGTTTTCAGCATTAAATAGAGTGATTCAAGAGTTTAAGAGAGATTTTTAAGGTTTATTTGGATAATACATGTGTGTTATAGTAAAACAAGCCGAGAAATTCAAAGATTCGTAATGAATCCGTGTGAAGCCGGGACGGCCCGTAGTATTAGACGGCTAGTGGATAAGTCTAAATATGTGTATTTTAATGAGTTATTCTGATTCACACTTATTTCCCTGCTAATGAAATGTTTTCAAAAAAAATTGATTATAGTACAAAAGACACTACAAATATCAAGATGCAATTAAAATTATATATATGTTCGTATGATATTAAAATGATATTTCGATTAACAACTGCGTCAGAAATAATTTCGATAGTAAAGAGAATGGAGAACAAAAAGTCAACTGGTTATGATGATATGCCCTTAAATATAATTAAAGAAAATATAGATATATTAGCGAACCCATTGTCGTATTTCTTTAATATATGTATTGATCAGGGAGTTTTCCCAGAACATTAAAAATTTCAAAAATAATTCCCATACATAAGAAAATGTCAAAAACAAATATTAATAATTATAGACCAATTGCTCTTTCTCCAGTGTTATCTAAAATATTGGAAAAAGCGATTAAGATACAATTGATGTCCTATTTTAATACAAATTCAATTTTAAACGCACGACAGTTTGGATATCAAAAAGGAGTAGGAACACCAGATGCAATTGATGCCATGGTTAATGATGTAACAAGGCAATTAAATAATAAATTAAAAGTTGCTGGAGTATTTTTGGACTTGAGCTCAGCCTTCGATACAATCGAGCACCAGATTCTGATAAGTAAACTTACCCACTACGGTGTTACAGATAAAGCCCTTTCTCTACTAAAATCCTATTTAATAAACAGAAAACAGTTCGTAGAAATTGTCGATATGGATGAAGACGGCACGAGGAAGGTATATAAATCATCATTAGTAACTGTAACAAGAGGTGTGCCTCAAGGTTCAGTACTGGGCCCTATATTTTTTATTATTTTTTTTAAATGATTTAATTAACTTCATGCTGAAATTATTTTCTGACATTGGAATGGTTGTATTTGCGGACGATACAAATGCAGTAATTGCTAGTGCAGATATCAATGATCTGAATATCAAAGTAAATGCAGTAATGGCAGCCTTCAATACCTGGTTTGTAGCAAATAAACTGGTACTAAACACAAATAAAACTAATATTACGTTGTTCAAAACAACTGCTAAAAATAAACAAACTCTCAGCACACACCTAAATGGAATAGCCGTAAAAGTAGTTGAAACAGTAAAGTTCTTGGGAATACATTTAGACTCACTATTTAGCTGGAAAACGGAAACAGGTGCATTAGATAATGCCATAAGCTCTGCATGTTATGCCCTTCGTTGTCTGAGAGAAGAACTTACGGAAGATCAATTACTGACAGTATATTATGCTTTGGTAGAATCTCGGTTACGATATAGCATTAAATTTTGGGGAAATAGCTACAAATACAATACAAACAGAGCATTCCTCGCACAAAAAAGAGCGATTAGAGCCATAGTTTGCATTGCACCCTGGGAATCATGTAAAGACCATTTTAAAAGACTAAAAATTCTTACAGTACCCAGTCTTTATATACAGGTTTTGTTGACAGACTTAATCAAAAACAAACATCTGTATGAATCTGAAGAGAACATGAAACAACGTTTAATAACAAGGAGAATGAATATACAAAAGGTAATAATTCCTACACTAAACGTAGTAACACACTGCCCAAGAAATCAAGCGGTGATACTCTATAATAAGTTACCGAAGGATCTTAAATTATTGAATAGTTTGAGTTGCTTTACAAAAAAATTGAAGTCACTACTAATAGACAAATGCCTGTACTCAGTTGACGATTTTTGATGTTTTTTTTTTGTTATTAATGACATTCTGTAAAATGACAACATGTAAATTTATTAACTTTACCAACCATCGTATCAACATTCAAATACAATGTACATTGTTCATGAATAAATAAATAAAATAATTGCATTTCCTATTCCATCCAAATTAAAGTAAATATGTATATTACGAGATCATTAACTTACAATAATATTAATTTAGATCATCAATATAAAGTTAAAGTAAAGTTATACATTAATAATATTACTATTAAAAATTATATTTAAAGATAAGAAAAATATATAAAAGTATTATTGTCTTTTAATTAGGTATATATCTATTAAAGAGCCTATCATATATCAAGACCTGAAAGAATCTAATAAGAAAAGTACCTATTGAAAAGAGTTTACTTTGTGTGCTTTAACTCTTTTCAATCTTTTGTAAGTTATATAATATGTGAAAACTTTATATCTATATAATTTGAAAAGAAAGCAACGAAGAGATTCCTTCGGGAATTTTGGTTAATTTTATTCTTCTAATATTAAAAAGTTTCACGATTTATGAAAAATATTTATACTCGCGTATTACTTAGAAATACCGCGAGATAAAAACATAATTGAATGTTAAAAATTATTTACTGCACATCTTCACAAAACCACAATATATATGTGAAAGCGTGTAATTGCAACTAAGTATTTAAATTACACTTCCCCAGTGGTAGGTACCAAACGGAATATGGTACGTGACAGCCGATGGCCGGCGGCGCTACAGACGTAATAAATACAGATAATAGTGTTTAATCGACGCGTATTGTCGGCGATGATGTGGGAGCCGACAGAGGCTGCCAATGAATGACCAGCTAATAGTACAAGCCGAACAACAATTAACTATAGCCATATAAAGGTAAGCGGTACCGGGAGCTTCCTTTGTCGATGGATTAAGAATGTAACGATGTCTGTAGGTGGTATCAATCTCATCAGACAGAACAGTTATTGAACATAATTTTGTTCGTTTGGATATAGACGAGTGGATATAAATCTATCTGGTATACTTTCTTTAAGTCTTGAAAGGAATTTATCAAAATATGGTTGAAATTTATATAGAAAAATTAAAATTTATGCACTTTAACATACTTAGGTAGTAGATTTCGTAAATTTATTACCATGTTTGTAATAATTTTAAATTGTAAGTAGATTAGACGTTACAGTTCAAACTACTTGGTTTTATTCGAGAATTAACTCAATAAATTTAAATATACCATACATTATGTATTATCTTGATATAATTGAATAAGTTTAGCTTAAACTTACCGTACAAATAAGAACTCCATTTCTAGCAGTTCGGAACTGCTTGAACACTTCCATTCTTTGCTCATGGGGCATCGATCCATGAAGACTGAACATTTCCAAATCGACTGGCACTAAACCACCTTCTACCGGTTCCTCATAGTCAATTTCAAATTCTGAATCTGACGATGATTTGTCCTAAAAATTAAAAAGGATTAAAATTCTCATCGAATTTTAAATCGCGAAAGCACTTTATCATCTACACATTCTACTAAAATCCGTGGGCGCCTCAAAGATGCATCTGTACGGCCTTCTTGATATAAAAAAGAATATATAAAAAATGAAGTTCAAATTATATTTCTGTATAGATTTTCTTATAGCTAAGTTTTATTACCTTATCATTATCATCATCAAGTTTCCTTTTCTTCGTTTTTGATATTTTAGTTGATTCGTTTTTCTTTACTTTAACTTTTTTTCCACACAGAACTGTTTCTATTAATTCTGAATGATAGTCCACCATTTCTAAAGTTGCCATAAAAACAATCATTTTACCACCCTTTTTATTCAAAATGCAATGTTCCACTATAAGCGAACATAAAGTAACCAACCGTAGTTTCATTGGAACAATAAGGAATGCCTGATTTACTGTTGACGGTAGAATCAATTCGTCTTCCACAATTGCTGTTTTTATAGCTTCTTCAAATGTATTACTAGTATCAGGCGGTATAAACTCTTTTTCGTCAGATTTCGTTGTTTTAGTTTTTACTTCTAATTGTTTTTGAACTTTAAAATATTCATAATCCGAATCACTATCACTATCTTCCTTAATATTTGTTTCTTTATTTTGATGGTTTGATACTTTAGAATTATTACTTTTAATTTCTTTGTCATTTACAAATAAGTCCGGATGGTTTAACCCAGAAAAGCCTTTCAAACCTGAAAAAAACTAGATCTAAGTATATAAAAGAAAATTTTAAGTGTTTATTTATAACGCTAAAAAATAGATTGTATTACTTACCTCTTTTACTTTCTGGGATATTATCTGTAGAAACATTATGAGTCTCATCTACGGAATCATTTTTACTGTTTGTCATATTATTTTCTGTAACATATACTTGTTCTAACTTGCTATCTGCATGTTTTAGTTTAAGTAGCGAATCAGCAACAAGTGCTCTTCCTTCAGACGTATCTACAAATACAGGATCCACCAAAGTAATACCGGCCAAATTTTCAACTGCCTATGAAGTTAATAAATTGTATTATGAATATATTGATATAGTTGCTACGATATTATATGGTAATAATAAAATAATTGTCAAACTTTTACCTTAGTAAGTGTAGCTGATAATAAAATTGTTTGACGCTTAGTTACTAACACTTCCGTTAAATTATGTTTTGTTGTTGAATTATCGATTTCATTGGGTTGTTCTGGTTTTTCAACAATCTGTTCTTCAATATCATCGTTAGGTAAGTCTTTTTTTATATTTTGCCTCATGAGTGCTATAGGATCATATGTAGCAGCTTTTTTGTGATCTTCTATAGCTTTCACTATTGCTGCTACGTCTTTTTCATAGCCCATATCTAGTAACCTATCAGCTTCATCTAGTACTAAACATCTAAAATTAAATAAAAACCAAATGAAAAGAAAGCTCATTTTTAAATATCATGTTCATATCATACAAATTCATGGTTTTTATGGTATAATATGATATTCACAAAAACAATAAATGTTAAGATAATACTTTTCATTTCAATAATAAAATCTCGAATTGTTATGCTCTTTACATAGCAAGTGCAATCATTTTGACAAGAAGTTCAGACACATGAATTATAATTTAATTATAATATAATTCAATTAAATTACCAACGGGTACAAATAGATGGTAAATACATGTTATATATATATTCTTGTATTTTATGTGAATGTTTTGAAAAATTTTTAACTTACCCAGTTTTAGCAAAATTCAGAGATTTGGTGTGTCTCAAGTGATCATTTATTCGACCTGGTGTGCCAACTAATATACTGAGTCCTTTCCTAAGCCTTGCCTTCTCTGCTTTTCTTTTCTGCCCCCCACTTAAAAGTCCAGGCACTACCCAAGTAAATGGCTTTAAAAGAAAATATAATATTATTAGTGTTAAAGTTGTATTTGAATTCCAGTTGGATTTTAAAATATGAAAAATGACAAAACAAAATTCAGGATTCAGGTATTTTCAGATGTTTATTATAGTTTTTAATAATACACTTAAAAAAGAACTAAATAAGTACAAACGTCATGAGAGACTACATCAATAGCTAGCTCATGCATCAGGAACTCTCATAATTAATAATTCATATTGTCTATAATCAAGATAGACCAAAATAAGTTTTTACAATTTTTGTATGTCTGTCGGTCTGTTTGTTCCAGCTAATCTCTGTATTGGCTGGACCGATTTTGACGGGACTTTTTTTGGCAGGTATCTGATGTAATAAGGAGTAACTTAGGTTACTTTTATTTTAGAAAAATAAAGTTAAATTCCACGCGGACGAAGTCGCATGTATAGCTAGTTTCAATAAAAATGTTAACAGCTTGAGGCTCCTCAATTCAAAGACAAAATTTGTAGTCAACACTAAATTATAGGAAATTTATGTATAAAAGTCTTGATATGAATTTTTTTCAGGATTCAAGTTAGTTAATGCAAGGAGGTTGGTAGCCTACAAGCCTTTTGTTGTTAGACACTTTGGGTGCAATATATTAATGGAGATATTCAGTGTATCCAAGCAGTAAATAAAATTTATTGTTCCATACTTTATTCATTTACATCAGATCTTACACAATATTACCATACTAATAGTACTAATTTTAAACAAGATGTAATCCATTATATTTAAAATCATCATCACTTTTTATTTCCAGTAATCTGACTGGAACAGTCACACATTACACTATTTTTTACTTTATTTATTACAAATCAAACCAGAAATATAGTCATGAAAATGTAACAAATAAATTTACTATGACATGTAAAGGACAGGTCATTATTTTATAGATACATTATCTATACATATAAATAAAATTGGAGTGTCTGTTTGTAATATAAATATGGTACATACAACAAAATAACATTTTTTACAATTTTTGTCTGTCTATCTGTCGCTCTGTTTGATCCGGCTAATCTCTGAAATGGCTGGATTGTAAGGAGTTACTTAGGCTACCTTTATTTGAAAAATAAAGTTAAATAACCATGTGGACGAAGTCGCAGGAACAGCTAGTTTAAAAAAAAATTGCAATAGAAAATAACATACCTTGACCAGTTTTAAAAACAGTTCATATGTTTGCACAGCCAGTTCTCTGGTGGGTACAACAACAACCACCCTTATGCCATCATATCTGTTAATTTTTGGCCTAATTGCTTGCAAACCCTCGATAATAGGTAAGGCATATGCTAAGGTTTTACCCGAACCTGTTTGAGATCTGTATAAAAATTATGCATACATGTAATAAACTAATATAATCCTAGTGTAGCAACTACTTTTCTAAATAATTTGAATAAATTAATAACACAGCAAAAGAAATGTCAGCCAAATAAAAATTTATTTAATTCCTGAATAACACCATGTTCTTTTATATATTTTGTGCTGTGTTATTATCTAATGTGATCTGTTTCTGATATTAAATATGACATTTACATTCTTTCAGACAGGTTACAACCATAGACAATCATAAGTTAATCTTAAACATGTAGGAAGTCAAAATCGAAATTACAATTTTACTAGTGTAATATTTTAGTTGGGTATAAAACAAACATACCTGATTAAAATATCTCGCCCTTGCAATATAATAGGTACAGCATTTTGTTGCACAGTCATCAGTTCCGTAAGACTTAAATTTTGCTTTAAATTAGCCACACTGTGAGGATGTATTTCCAGATCTGTGAAAGTTTTGCCAGCAAAGACTTTCTCTGTTAAAGGTTTCACAGCTCTCTGTCCTATGCGTGGAACATCTGGATTATTTTTAAACAGAGATGAGATCCAACCACCACTCCTGGGTTTTTGTTTTAGTTGTAATTCGTCGTTTATTTCTTGGTAGTTTTTTCCCTGATATTTCCCTTTGTTTTCGCTCAGATCACGCAAATTTGTAGACAGATCTGCTTTTGGAAGTGATGGTTTTGGTAACTTGTTTTGTGGCTCACCCCCTAACTTTTTAAATGTTTCACTCAAATTCTGTGGTCTCTTCCTAGCTATAGTTTTACCAGTAAACTTGGGTTTAGATACGAACTTGTAATCTGAAGCATTTTTAGTATCAACACCAATTTTCTTCTTTACCTAATAAAATAAACTATAATGAAAAAAGTACTTACAATATATGTTTTAAAATTAAGAATGAAGATCACTCACTCTTTTTGCAGCCGTAATATTCAATTGTAAATCTTCCATAATTAAAAATCCGTCTATATTTTGTACATTTCTAGGTTAGACGCACATTTATACTTTGTTGTCGTTCGGTTTCTGTTTTGACATTTGTGTGTTGCCAACATGCGTCTGATTTCTGAGCTAAATCTGACAACCGGGCCAACAAATGGATGTAATGTAATTAAGAAAGTCAGAACATTATGGTAGTAAATAATCTTAATATAATAATATGGTAGGTGAATTAAAATAAAACATGTTATTCTATAAATTTATCAAATAAACTAAAAAGTCCTGAAAATAAATTGTTGATTATGTTTTTTGTACAGAACGAAAACATCTTTGTTTATAACAAAGATTTTTTATTGCCACTGACTTTTGCTCTAAACAATATGTACCAATTTCAAAGGGCGATCATGAATTCAAAAATGTCTTAATAAGATTAAATAAATTCATTTTGGCAACACCAAACTTCACATTGTAAAATAATGAATTCAAATCGTACAACCCTTCAATGAAAAAGAGTTTATTAATATACACAACACAAAATCGCTTATAATATACCTCATATATCGCCACGACTATTATTTTACATGGAGTAATCAGACACATTATCAACCATCGAGGTCACAGTCAACGTAGTACTTGACATGCTTTTGTTATTTGGTGTTTCCATCACCAGAGAAATAGTCAGAAATATATTAAATTTGTAAAAACACAATAAAAATGTTTTTTATAGCCAGATACAAAGATGTAAACCTTAAAGTTACCTATAAGCCACTAGGCCACTTCTTATATAAAAATAGAAGATTAAATACTACATTTTAAATATTAGCGAATACTTAGATTATAAGTAGTTATTATTCTAATTATAGCAGTAAAAGTACACTATATTCTTTTGGGATTTCATAACCATTTGGAATTTGTCCATATGAATACTTTAAATGTTAGTGGTAGATTCATGTACACGTGTCGCGTGGATACAGAATTTGAAACTAGCACGTGCCGGCGCGTGCCTTCCAAACATTGCTTTATGATGTCTATGGAGTGGAATAAATATTTGTAATATATATAAAGCCATGTTTGTAAGCACTAAAGCCCTTACTTATTCGTGAATAGATTAATTAAACGACTTATGTATGATTAAATTGATCAAAAGTTTCTTTAGATAATATCGGGTGATAACATCAAATAAATCTCACAAAATTATATATTAACTACCTATTATATTATGTCATCGATAGTATTGTCTTCAAATTGCAATTAGTATTTCGCAACAATAACCAAGTTCAGTGGTTATAAATTAACATAATAGAACTCAAACATATCAGTAGTCTCAATCTCACGTAAATGAAATTCATACATATCTCTCAATTATCTGACGGATAAGTTATATTTGTACCACGAAGAGAGTAATTAATTGTACTCCATTAATATTACATATCTTAAATAGACCATAGATTAGACATATCATACGTATCTGTAATAGACCTACATGAATTTAATAATTTATCAAAACGAGTTGTTTTTTCCCGATCATGCATGCATGCATTTTGGTCGATTATATTATACTTAATATGGATCTAACTAATACATAGCCTGTTCAAACAACAGAACAGAAGTCAACTCTGTTAAAACGTGACGACAAATCAGTGCACTTGAAATTCAAAGAGCATATACTGAACATACACGGGGTCCATGTTGTGGGCCCCTAGGGGAGGTGTGAGGGCGCGACGTGATTACCCGCGTCCGAGCGGGACGACCTGACTCGCGGCCCCGTTGTGAACCGCCCCACACGAGACCAAGTATAATATAAGTTTAAGGCAGCCCGTAAATTATCAGAAAATGTATATCAAAAAAATCCGATAACAGCTGTATCTAGTATCCCTCGGTATCATTTTATTTCTGTAAGTAAACGTAGTACAATATAGATATCTGCTATTGTTGAGGGACTAATAAAATAAAATAATAGATAAACACTCGCTGTATACACGTTGCACTGAAAATGATTAATTTTACGTACCCGAATCTATTACAAATATATTTACTAACGGAAAGAATAAGTAAAGTAGCTTTACAATCCTCTTGAGTAGGATACGAGAGAAATAAATTATTAGTAGAAGAGTAGTATATTTTATCTATAAGTGAAAAACCAAAGGTACTAGATATTTTAGAATACTGGCCCAATATATACTACTATTTTTTTTTCAGCCAGTAATAGTAACTAAGGCAACGTGTAAATAATTTCTTATAACTCCATGTAGAATATGTATAGTTGTAATAAATGTAAACAAGGACGGTGAAGTGATAAGAATATTAAAGAATACAGTTATTATTATTAATTATATTACTTTCCAAATTTATCTTAATTAGTTGAGTTTTGTAATATGGCGTTAAAACCGACTACATGCAAGGAAGCTATTGCCAGATGGGAAAAAGAGAAAGGAGAGAACGCCGCTGATGCCAAAGTAATAGAGTTACAATTTCAGTGGCCACCGATAGAAAAAATGGATGGAGCCTTGTCAACACTTGTTGCTTGCGAGTAAGGAATCATTATTAATTTATAAGCAAATTCCTATTATTGCTTCGTTCTATGCTTTGTAACCAAGCCAATTAAAAAGCAAAGCAATAAAGAACTGTTCAATTCTTCAATTGGTTTTTCTTTATTACATGGTGTCAATTGCCTACCTGTAGACTTTGCTCCAGCTATAGTCCATCTGTTTAAATCGACATTTATTTTCAGTTCCATTCATATATATTCTGTGTATCTATTTGTAAGTATCTACATATTTAGTTTGAAAATGGCTATAAAATAGTCATCACAACTGCACTTAGTCATATCTAAGCTACCAGGGCTTCAAAATGATAGAATGAGAAATAAGGTAGGTTAATTAACTCTTCACACCTGAAAAATAATGATGAATAACCACGACAGACCGACGGATTTGAGATTTGAGAGCAGGCCGTGTTCAAGAAGACTATGTACGTACAAACATACGAGTACATTACTAATAATGAGACTACTAGCATTAAACGAACTCTCATTCCGTCTTGAGTGTATCACTTAATTTGCAATTTTCTCTATTTTTCCTAAATAACACGTAGAGTACCAATATAACAACTCTCACCAGTATTAGGTAAATACCTATACGAATAAAAATAAAGAATAACTTTCCAGAAAACTAAGTTTGTCTACAAACATGATTGATAAAATAGCTGGTATCGCCGGCATGAGAAGCCTGAAGATCTTATCTTTAGGGAGGAACTATATCAAATCTTTGGCTGGAATAGTGAGTTTTGTAACTAAGTTACAATTATTGCACTCGTAATTACTAGCCAATAAGAAGTTAGATTATTTCTTACATTAAAACACTTATTTATAAATTAATTAGGAATAGTATAAATTTGATTTTTTAATTAATGTCTATAGTGGTAACTCGATATTTAATAAGTAAGCTAAAGCTATGTAAATTACAACTATAGCATTTTAAGTATGCAAAAAATGACAAGATGATGATAAGTGATAACCGGTGCCTATATACAGGAATAGCACCACGGATATCACGTGATCATGTACTACGTATGCGTTGCCGATCTCGTGGACTAAGACGTTATGCTTCGTGAATTATCTTGACTCTTCAACCGAAACACATTCATTATTCGAACATTAAATTTTATTACCAATCATTATTTGAACATTCAATTTTATTACCAGGAAACTGTCGCTGAAACACTTGAAGAACTATGGATTAGCTATAATCCAATCGACAAACTGAAAGGCATTGGAGCCCTGAAAAGCCTACGAGTGCTCTACATGTCTAACAATATGATAAAAGAGTGGGCCGAATTTAATAGATTACAGGTATTTCAGTAATTTTTTTAGTAAGACAGTATTTCAGTAATTTTTTTAAGCTACATTTATGGATATTGTGATGTTTATAAATATTCATTTATCTATCCTTTCCCTGGTTCCATGCTCTATTGGCCAAAAAAGTATATTACCTTTAATTACAATAAATTATTGGTTTATTTAGGTATTGGGTTTATTATATAGCTACCTAAATATATAAATAAAATAAGACTAACTTGTGCTTGATATATCTATAAAATTACAGGAATGTCCAGCACTGAAAGATCTTGTGTTCATTGGCAACCCTATTTGTGACAATCAGCCTGATGTAGAGACCTGGCGTACCCAAGCTTCTAATCGTTTGCAACAGATAACTAAATTAGACGGTATACCCATTGTTCGAGATACTGATTAATAGGCATAGATATTCATTATTAATAAATTAATTAAGACAAGAAATACCATATTAAAGCTTATTACATTAAAAACAAAATTGCTATTTTTCCGACATTTGAATGATCATAATTTTGTATCATTATCAAGACTCCTATTCGTAATAAGTCAATTACACAACTATTTCGGTCGAAACATCGTTCCCCGATTTTTTTATTCTGAATTAGAGTTATGATTGCGTGACACTTTCTGTAACAATAGCTGATAGAGGCCCACTTGTTTATGCTAGGAATTGAAATGACGATAATATTCAACTTAATAGTCACGTCGCATCGCCTCGCTCTCTTGACATTTATGACAGATTATAACTCTGGCAATACTAATAACCGTTGCACACGCCATCTATCTATTAGGTGACGCAACTAATACATAAGCCTTAAGATTGAATTCCATTAATCGAATAATGATTGGGATAGCAGATTGAAGATTACCACGTAATTCAAGTAACATTATAAAGGGGTAAATTGACTTGTTAAATGATAGAAAACAATAACATGAATAAATTAATTATAAAAAAAATGTTGGTACCCAGTTTAACCGCTCTGCGTAGTAATACGATTGTAGATATGTGCAATATGCCATATACCATTTTGCAGTACGGGCTTGAAAATCTGAAAAGCATAAACCGGAAACAATGACACAGTACAACTGTAAATTTTCTATGAGATTAAGGTTATCATCATCATCTGCTTCTTCCTTATCCCATTTATTTGGCGTCGGCGTAATGCTTTTCTCTTCCATTCATCTCTGTTCGCAGTCATCTTGTTAATATGATCTTCATTCCTTCGCATTACATGCCCATAACATGATAGACGATTACTCTTTAATCATTACTCTTTTATCATGCTCACTAAAATGTCCAGACTTGTGGCGGCGTGATGGGCCGGGTCATTGGGCTCCCTAAAATATGGTCGAGCGCAGTGATAGCTGGCTCATCCGTCATACTCGTGAACGGGTGCTGCTTGTACTGGTCTGCTCTAATCACTATGACTGATTTCATCTTATTAATTGTTTAACCAGTTGGTTACATATTCAATATTTTTTCTATTTGAGTATTTAATTGAATTAGTGCTAATTGGTGGTTTGTATTCACACACTTAAACTTAAAAATGTAAAGTAATAATAAAATTATTTAAAAGAGCAACACGCAAGTTTCTTGCTCATTTTTCTTGTGATGAGACAGCTTTCCCAATGAGCGGTGGATTAAAAAATTGTAATGACTATTCAAAAGTGCTTCAATGTAAGTTTATTTGAATAAATGATTTTCTATTCTATTCTATTCTATTCTTGTCATACCACATCCATCTCAACATTCGCATTTCAGTTGCATGCAGTTTAAGGTACTCCTCTTATTTCATTTGTCTATAAAGGGTAGAATATAGTAACTTCTATTATTTTCAAGCTATATTTTATTTTCTATTTCCTGAGGAAATAGACTCGTAAATTCCTACGGTAATACGTGTATATACTTAGTGTAGGCAATGCCTCTTTTGATGCTAAATTCAAAAGCTTATTTTATCTTAAATCGTCTAAATCTTCATGTGAAAGCATAGCTATTGTCCTCCCAGCTCTACGATTCGTCATACATCTCAAAGCCGACTTAATAGCCTGCTTAATTCGTGCCAAAAGGAAATGCGAATCGGTAGGGGAAGCCATTGCCGACGGAAAATTCCCTCTCTGTAGATGCGTGGATGGCTTGCTATTGTGTTGCCACTAATAAAATTTAATGATGTAAACGGATAGCGCGAATTTATCCAACTCAAAGCGATCAGGGAGACGGTCGCTGAGGGGAAATCAATTAAGAACAATATATCAGTTGTATAGCAAATTAAGTTACTTCAATTACTACTGAGTTACACGATATTGTTGTAAACTTAGTACGATTGCTAATAAATATTTAAATAGCTATGTTTAAACTATAATGGAACAGCTTTTGTGAACCTGATAATCCGTTTAATTGGGCCATTAAGCCATTATGGATATATCAAACATCACATTGTACAAACCAAAAATTACAAGCTATAGGTCACACAAGGAGAACAACGGACGGCCATAAGATTAAAGCTATATATTCTAGATGACCTTTCTATTACATACTTACTGTGATACATTTTAGAAAAGTTTACCAAATCTACTACCTAATTACTAACCTACGTATAAAAAATCTTTGAAACTGTAATGTACCTACTCGTAATAGGTACTCGTACTTAAATCATATGTTTTCTATAATTACAATTCCATTAAATTCTAATGTTACAATATTATGTGTTAGAACGACATTTCGGTGACATGTACGCCTAGAATTTAATAATTTGATGGAAAGTTGACCATTGTGTACTATAAGTAATGGACTGATAATTGTCCGTCCAAACAGAAGTAACTCTGTTAATCACAATGAAACGACACTACCCTATTCCTATAAATCAAATGTATACCCTCGTTAATGCGCACACATGCCAAGTGAGCGTCACCTAAACCGTCATTATATAATTATTAACACTACAATCGACCTAATTTTGATTTCTATTTGACATTTCGATTACTCCACCACGTAGCCTCGGGCGAGCGGCCATTTTGTGACATCTGTCCTCGAATGTGATATCAACTATAAAATTCAATTTCCCTCAATCGGCTAGCTCGACACATTTATTATTCATAGATCGGTACCTAGATGCCCGGCCACTAACAGATGTGATCTTTTACGTGAAAGAATATCAAAAAAGATGACGTCAATATAAAAGGCAGTGACTCTGAGGGACATGAATTTAATATAAGATCACGTGAATCCAATTTATGAAATCACTGATATACCTAATGCATAAGAAAAAAGCGACCAATACGGCAACAAAAAGGTACTCAATCGCGTGACATGTGTAGGCGGCAGCGGGAACGGAGGTTTGATTTCAGGTTCATTCTGTCAGACAATAAATTTTGCAGTACCTATTCCAAGTCATATAGCGGCCTAGATGATTGGTGATCAATTCATATGGGGTCGTGCTACCAATCGCTTTCAGTACTTGAATAATTTTCCACAGAATATCAATTTTCATAATGACTCCATCGTAGCAAGTGGTAGTCATACGGATTTAAATGTACGATTGGGTTCGTGTAGTGTATTGGCTGGCCAATAAATCAATCTATGTCGCCAGTAATGCACAATCCATTTGCTCGCTTGTAGTCTAATTGCTGTTAGCGCCGCCCAGTGACCACATTAGGCTGAAACGTTCCACACACCGCCCACTCCCGAGCTCTACACTACAGTAAACATATAAGACGACCTCACTTGACCTATTCGAGTGTAATGGCTGATTTTCTAGCTCACGAGACGTAACCGGCAAACGGCCACGCTTAAGCTACTGAAAGGCAGAGAAAATGGCTTAAGTGCTTTCTCTATTATACTTAAGGTCGTTCGTGAAAAGGATAATTTTCAACTCTCCAGCGCCCCCGCCCCGTTGAGTTTATTTGGAATTGTATGGATATGATTTAAATTTAATACATATATGACTATTTTAGATTTATATTATGTAAATATTTTTATTAGTTATTGCTTTTTCTCGTATTCTTCTCAAGTCAAACAGTCTTATATTTATCGTAGAAACCTTATATAACGAGTACTTTATAATGTCTATTGATATAGTCAATATAAATTATGCTCTGTTTTTAAGAAGAGTCTTAGAAATGTAACTATAATTACGGATATATATATATAAATTACGAAAACATACTCAGGTAGATATCACAGATAGGATAAGAGTGAGAGTAGATATATGGCACTGTGTTCTAATCCACAAAATCATATTACTGTGCCTACTATTTTATGTTTTTATATACCTATCTAATTGTTATACAAAAAAATATATGATAGTAAACATTTGCCTCAGGTTTTAGGTATTATTTTCTTTTATTTTTTGATGCATATCCATAATAAGTTCACGTCGGCGAGATAATATATTTTTAAGTTGGGTAACCTATTGTCGAGGCAAGCGGCGAGGGTCGCGAAATAAAGCTTTCCCAACAAACAATAGTTCCGGCCCTTTGTCGCACAGCGAGTAGAGTAAACATTAGTAGTTGAAGGCATTGTGAAGGACCGACAACGCCGCCGAGTAACGTCGCGACGCGCCCGCCCTGAAACGTTACAGTAAGAGATTGCAATTACATTGTAATTCGTACTTTCCCTTATTACCTTTTGTTAACGTGATATATTTTTTAGTCTTTATTTGCCTTTTAGTAATTCAAAGCGGGAGTAAGTAGAGCAATAAAAATACATAGATTCAGGTGCATTAACTTTGTCATTCACATTATTGACAACATAGGTTATTACTAAGATAGCTTTTACCCAATATTATACATCCATACAAAAAAATGCTGTAAAATTACGAAACATTCTAAAAAAACTACCGTCTTTTGCCTGCTCCCTAAGTCACCTATTTTAATTTGTAAGCAAACATTCCTCTTACTTACAATTTATAACAATCATCTTCTAATAATGATAAAAAAATCTTGCAAACGTTTCTGTAATTATAAATTAATTTAGTCTGTAGGTATTTATTACAAACCAAAGCACTTACAGCCCTAAACTGAAACCGTGAAACTCATTCAAAACGGGGAAGTCACGATCACACCATAAATTATGTACTGTTTCAACATTAACACCTACTTTCCATAATAGCCGATAAACCAAATTTAGTTTTCATGTTACGCACCCTTCGCGCTCCGTAGCTACTTATAATAAGCAATGATCAATGGAGAATAATCCCATTGTGTCGCACGCAGACAAAAAACCATGTCTGAATTATTCCGCTACGCTCTCGCGCTAATATCTCCATTACATTAGGCAGTATCGAACCTCATTGTTAATGCCTCTCCACATCTACACAGAAAGGATTACGCGCCAAAATGTTGACAGTTGTCGATGAGACAAAAGAGAAGCAAGTACATTCCGAAATACGCATAATAGCTTGTGTTTATTTAATTTAAGTCATTGGCAATTCAGAATAATGCCGTGTTTTCGCCA